TCCAAAGAGGTTAAAAAATGGTTTTGGTCGAAAAATGGGTATTTATCCAAGTTTTTTTGGGGGGGGAAATAAAGGCTAGAAAAATGTCTTTTACGATATTCTAAAACGGAAAATCGCCTTTCTAGGCTATAAAGACAAGAAGTTCAAAAAGTCGGAAAACTTACATTTTTCCAAAGGGGTTAACCCATGGTTTTCGTCCAAAAATAGCCATTTTTTAACCTTTTTTTTAAGCAATATAGGCCAGGAAAATGTCTTTTACGATATTGTAGAACGAAACAAAGCCTTTCGAGGCTATAAAAACAAGAACTTCAAAAAGTCGAAAAATTGACATTTTTTCAAAGGGGTTAACCCATGGTTTTGGTCCAAAAAAGGCCATTTTTCCAACTTTTTTTTTAGGGAATATAGGCCATGACAATGTCTTCTGCGATATTCTAAAACGAAAAAACGCCTTTCTGGGCTTAAAAAAAAAGAAGTTCAAAAAGTCAAAATAATTCACATTTTTTTAAAGGAGTTAACCAATGGTTTTGTCCAAAAATGACCATTTTTCCAACTTATTTTTTTAGCCAATAAAGGCTAGGAAAATGTTTTTTAGGATATTCTAGAACGGAAAATCGCCTTTCTAGGCTATAAAAACAAAAACTTTAAGAAGTCGAAAAATTGACATTTTTCCAAAGGGGTTAACCCATGGTTTTGATCAAAAATGGCCGTTTTTCGACTTTTTTTTTTTAGGCAATAAAGGCTAGGAAAATACCGTTTACGATATTCTAGAACGAAAAATCGCCTTTCTAGGCTATAAAAACAACAAGTTAAAAAAGTAGAAAAATTGACATTTTCCCAAAGGGGTTAACCCATAGTTTTGGTCCAAATATGGCCATTTTTCCAACTTTTTTTTTTAGGCAATAAAGGCTAGGAAAATGTGTTTTACGAAATTCTAGAACGAAAAATCGCCTTTCTAGGCTATAAAAACAAGAAGTTCAAAAAATCGAAAAATCGACAATTTTCCAAAGGGGTTAACCCTTGGTTTTGGTCCAAAAATAGCAATTTTTCCAACTTTTTTTTTTAGGCAAAAAAGACTAGGAAATTGTCTTTTACGTTATTCTAGAACGAAAAATCGCCTTTCTTGGCTATAAAAACAAGAAGTTCAAAAAGTCGAAAAATTTTCATTTTTCCAAAGGGGTTAATCCATGATTTTGGTCCAAAAATGGCCATTTTTTCAATTGTTTGTTTTACGCAATAAAAGCTATGAAAATATCTTTTACGATATTCTAGAACAAAAAATCGCCTTTCTACACTATAAAAACAAAACGTTCAAGAAGTTGAAAAATTGACATTTTTTCAAAGGGGTTAACCAATGGCTTTGGTCCAAAAATGGCCATTTTTCCAACTTTTTTATTTAGCCAATATAGGCCAGGAAAATGTCTTTTACTATATTCTACAGCAAAAAAACGCCTTTCTAGGCTGTAAAAACAAGAAGTTCAAAAACTCGAAAAACTGACATGTTTCCAAAGAGGTTGACCAATGGTTTTGGTCGAAAAATGGGCATTAATCCAAGTTTTTTTTTTTGGGCAATAAAGGCTAGAAAAATGTCTTTTACGATATTCTAAAACGGAAAATCGCCTTTCTAGGCTCTAAAAACAAGAAGTTCAAAAAGTCGAAAAACTCACATTTTTCCAAAGGGGTTAACCCATGGTTTTCGTCCAAAAATAGCCATTTTTTAACCTTTTTTTTAAGCAATATAGGCCAGGTAAATGTCTTTTACGATATTGTAGAACGAAAGAAAGCCTTTCGAGGCTATAAAAACAAGAACTTTAAAAAGTCGAAAATTTGACATTTTTTTAAAGGGATACCCATGGTTTTGGTCAAAAAATGGCCATTTTCCAACTTATTTTTTTAGGCAATAAAGGCTAGGAAAATGTCTTTTACGATATTCTAATACGGAAAATCGCCTTTCTAGGCTATAAAAACAAAAACTTCAAAAAGTCGAAAAATTGAGATTTTTCCAAAGGGGTTAACCCATGGTTCTGGTCAAGTATGGCCATTTTTCGACCTTTCTTTTTTAGGCAATAAAGGCAAGGAAAATGTCTTTTACGATATTCTAGAACGAAAAAAAGCCTTTCGAGGCTATAAAAACAAGAAGTTAAAAAAGTCGAAAAATTGACATTTTTTCAAAGGGGTTAACCCATTGTTTTGGTCCAAAAATGGCCATTTTTCCAACTTTTTATTTTAAGCAATAAAGGCAAGGAAAATGTCTTTTACGATATTCTAGAATGGAAAATCGCCTTTCTAGACTATAAAAACAAGACGTTCAAGAAGTTAAAAAATTGACATTTTTCCATAGGGGTTAACCCATGGTTTTGGTCCAAAAATAGCCCTTTTTCCAACTTTTTTTTTTAGGCAATAAAGGCTAGGAAAATGTCTTTTACGATATTCTACATCAAAAAAACGCCTTTCTAGGCTATAAAAAGAAGAAGTTCAAAAAGTCGAAAAACTGACATGTTTCCAAAGAGGTTAACAAATGGTTTTGGTCGAAAAATGGGCATTTATCCAAGTTTTTTGGGGGGGGGAAATAAAGGCTAAAAAAATGTCTTTTACGATATTCTAGAACGGAAACTCGCCTTTCTTGGCTTTAAAAAAAAGAAGTTCAAAAAGTTGAAAAATTCACATTTTTTTAAAGAGGTTAACCAATGGCTTTGGTTCAAAAATGGCCATTTTTCCAACTTATATTTTTAGGCAATAAAGGCTGAGAAAATGTCTTTTACGATATTCTAAAACGGAAAATCGCCTTTCTAGGCTATAAAAACAAAAACTTTAAAAAGTCAAAAAATTGACATTTTTCCAAAGGGGTTAACCCATGGTTTTGTTCAAAACTGGCCATTTTTCGACCATTTCTTTTTAGGCAATAAAGGCAAGGAAAATGTCTGTTACGATATTCTAGACCAAAACAACGCTTTTCTAGGCTACAAAAACGAGAAGTTCAAAAAGTCGAAAAATTGACATTTTTTCAAAGGGGTTAACGCATTGTTTTTGTCCAAAAATGGCCATTTTTCCAACTTTTTTTTTAGGCAATAAAAGCTAGGAAAATGTCTTTTACGATATTCTAGAACGAAAAAACGCCTTTGTAGGCAAAAAAACCAAGAAGTTCAAAAGTCGAAAAATTGACTTTTTTTCAGAAGGGGTTAACCCATGCTTTCAGTCCAAAAATGGCCATTTTTCCAACTTTTTTATTTAGCCAATATAGGCCAGGAAAATGTCTTTTACGATATTCTACAGCAAAAAAACGCCTTTCTAGGCTGTAAAAACAAGAAGTTCAAAAACTCGAAAAACTGACATGTTTCCAAAGAGGTTGACCAATGGTTTTGGTCCAAAAATGGGCATTAATCCAAGTTTTTTTTTTTGGGCAATAAAGGCTAGAAAAAACCGAACATTATGGCGCGACATAATGTAATTTATATCGAGGCGTGGTGCGCACGTGATATTCCGCTGGGGTTGGCTTGTACCAGGCACGGATTCGATACTAGCATTAGTTTGGCCAATCAGGTTTAAAGTAGGTCACATGCCTAGTATATGAGAGACAGTTTCAGCGAGATATTCTTCCTTCCTCCTCTCGCCATCAGATTGAACAGATCCCCAGAAAAACTTTTCCACGAGCGCTCCTTTTCAATTTTTTCAGGCAAGTACTCATTATTTTCAATTTTTTCTTTAGATATCGTTTTTATGGCACCACTACGAATTTTGATTCTCGGCCACTCCTTCATTCGCCGTCTACACGTTTTTCTTCGTCAAAGTTTTAATGAGGTATGTGCCAGAAATTTGCATATCGATGGGGATCTTTCCATCAAATGGCATGGCATCGGAGGAAGAACTATTTCTAAAGTGATCCGACATGATTTAGGAATAGTAGAGAAATTTGCCCCAGAGATCGTCGTCATCCAGTTGGGTACCAATGATCTGTCTTCCCTTTCCGCCGTTGAAACTGGCTCAGCTCTCGTTTGCTACATGACTCATACGGTGTGCAAAGGGTCTGTGTTTGCTAGACTATTTTTCGCAGTAATGCTCCTTTATTCAATCGCCAGGTTAAGTTATTAACAAAATATCTTAAAGTAGTTTTGGAGCCGATTCCTTATGTTCTTTACTGGCGACACAGGGGTTTTTGGAATTGTAAATCCGGTTTTTTAACACGCGATGGTGTCCACCTTAATCACTTTGGGCAGTATAAATTTTTCCGTAGCTTGAGAGGGGCAGTGTTGCAATGTTTGCGATCTCTTCAGGCTAGCGGGTAAAGTTGCTTCATTGGCTCGATTTGATCCAATTTACGTTTTGTCTAGTAATCCACTTTGCATTTCCTTAGTTATCCAATTTGATCCAATTTAAATTCCTTTGGATGATCTGATCCAGTTTGAGTAAGTGAGAATGTCATGCAATGGAATGGCTATACTTTTCCGCGAGGCTGATTGTCATACCAGGCCCACTGTTTATTGCGGTCTCAACCGTGATAGTGCGGCTTCGGTGCCATTTACTTTGATGCTGTATGTGTTCAGCACCTCTGTCAAAGCATTTGTTGTTGACAGTAGATTTGTGTTCAAGTCGCGGTTGAAACAAACCGTGAATATTATGGCCTTCGCGTCGTTGTTTTGTGCTATCACTTTGCCTATTCAGTGTACAACCTATTGATCGCCCTTTCAAGGGTGTGTCCGATGCACTTGGCATTCTGTGATTTTGCACTTGTTTAATTTTTGGCCGATATTGCATTGTATTCTACATCTCACTTTAAATTATCTTCGTTTTTTATATTATATCCGTTTTGTCATTGCACCCTAGCCTTTAAGTGATTACTGTTCGTACAGGTGCTCCTCTCAACAGCTATTTTATTCCGTTCTTCAGACAACAATGCTTGGCGGCTGAAGAAAAAACTGCCTTCGTTACTTTAATGGTCCAACATACCGCATAGTTGTCTGTTTGTATTTCTCAGATTTTACTACCAATTCTATTCTGCATAAAAGATGCCTCCTAGCAAGCGTTCCTCCACTAAGACTTCGGCAGGTACCGCTCCCAGAGCAAAAAGGGGTCGCTCCTCCGCGGCGACGTCGGTGGCCATTTCCGACAGTGTCACACTACCAGCTAGCCACGCCACTTCGAGTTCGAGCTCAGGCACCGTGTCGATTGATGTTGCTGCCCTGTCCGCTACAGTGTCTGCCGTGGTAACAGAAGCCCTTAAGACCACCCTCTCGTCCGAAACCTTGACTGGTATTTTAAAACACACTGGACCCCCTATCCCGTTGGAACCACTGGCCTTGGAATCCTCCAACTCTGTGGGCGCCGCCATAACTGCTGAGGTAGCTGATACTCTTCAGGATGGTCACGCCTCAGGTAAAAAAGGGGAGGCGCTCCCACTACTTTAAACGACTCTTGGCCACAAAGCATCTTTACGACCATCTCTGTTCCTCTTAGCCCTAGGGTTAGTGCTAAATTGAAAGCCAAAATATTTGCGAACGAATATGTAGATTTTGGGGCTTTACTTTCTTCTTCCCCTAACAACGAAGGGAAATATTCACTTTCCATGGCCCCTTCAGAGGGGTCATCTAGTCTACCCCAAATCACCCTCGAACCGTTACAAAATGCGAAACACATTCAATCTATTCAGCAATGGGTCTCTGCCTTTAATATCTTTGTTTCCGTTTACTCTGAGAAATTTACTGCAGAGACCCCACGGTTAATGAAATACTGTGAACTTGTAAGGGATTTAGCTCAAAAAGCTGGGGATTGGATTTGGTACAACAAACAGTTCCGCTATTTACGGCAAACCGCCCCGGAGAAATACCCCTGGGATCAAATTCACTGGGAGTTGTGGATACGAGCGTCCAGTAGTTTTCCCAAGACACAACCGCTCACCAACAAACAATCACAACCAAACCGCTCTCGTTTTTGTTCGCAATTTTTTCCAAAAGGAACTTGTTGGGCCTTTCAAGCTGGAAAGCACTGCACGGGTTGTCAGTTCACCCATGAGTGTTTTAAGTGCGGAGCAAAACACCCAGGTAGTCAATGTTCCTCACTGTCAGCACAAAACCGACCCAATTTCAGTTCTAAAGGCCCACGAGGAGGAACTCTAATACAGAGTCCCTCACAGCCCACCGGTAATCCCAGTAAACGTAGAACGCCTTGAAATTTTGTTACACGGTTACAATCCTGCCTTGAAACAATATCTTATCGAGGGTTTTAGTTTGGGTTTTCGCATCAATTTTGTTGGTGAACGGTGTGCCATGGATTCTCCTAATCTAAAAAGTGCTTTGGAGCGTCCCATAGTTACCAGTGCCAAGTTACAGAAGGAATGCAATGCGGGGAGGATAGTTGGCCCTTTTGCTACACCCCCCTTTTGGAATTTCCGCACCTCTCCCATAGGTCCTCATCCACCACTTATCCTATCCTATGACTTTATTCCAGACCATTGTTCCACCGTAAAATACGCTTCGGTCAGAGATGCGACGAAGTCTATACAGCGATTAGGGAGAGGTTGTTTTATGGCCAAAACTGATGTGAAGTCTGCTTTTCGCATCATTCCTATCCATCCCGCTGACTATCCCTTACTGGGCATACGCTGGAACAATATGTATTACTTCGACCGGGCTCTTGCCATGGGGTTGTCTAGTTCTTGTGCTATATTTGAATCCTTTAGCACCGCCCTTGAATGTGTATCTCTGAACCTTTTCGATGCTTCCGCAGTTTTACACATCTTGGACGATTTTCTGTTTATTGCCAAAACTAAAGAACAATGCGCACGTGATTTACAGAATTTTATTCTCATGTGTGATTATCTGGGTGTTCCCCTTGCGCCCGAAAAAAACCGTCGGCCCTGACACAGTTTTACAGTTTGCGGGAATAACACTCGACTCGGTACTCTTTGAGGCCCGCTTACCCGAAGACAAGCTTGCGAAATGTCGCGTGATGTTACACAACTTTTATACGCGTCGTACGGTTACACTGAAAGAACTTCAGTCCTTAATAGGTTTATTGAATTTCACCTGCACTGTTGTCGTCCCGGGGCGCGCTTTTCTCCGCCGCTTGATTGATCTCACGAAAGGCATTCAAAAGCCGCATCACCATATTCGTCTATCGAAGGGTGCCAAATCGGACATCTTAATTTGGCTTCGTTTTTTAGAGGACTTTAATGGTAAATCATTATTCTTTAATGATATATGGGAAACCTCACACACCCTTCACCTTTATACTGATGCGGCGGGTTCCATTGGTTTTGGCGCGGTCTTTGGTTGTCATTGGCTACACGGTATTTGGCCCGAGATGTGGAAAACCTTCAACATAGCGTTTTTAGAACTTTTTCCCATTGTCCTTGCAGTTCATATTTGGGGGTCTCTTATGGCTAATAAGCGTATCATATTTTTCTCTGATAATGCAGCTGTTGTGGATATCGTAAATAAGCAGACATCTAGACATAAAGATATCATGGTGCTTTTAAGGGATTTAGTGTTAAGTTGTCTTAGGCACAATATCCTTTTTCAAGCACGTCATATCCCCGGATTACAAAACTCAAGCGCAGATTACCTTTCCCGTTCTCAGGTAGTGAACTTCAAGGACATCTTCCCGGAAGCCGAGGAATCTCCCACTCAGATACCGGTGAACCTAATGCCGAAGAATTGGGTGCTAACTTGAGAACTCTTTTAAGTTCCTCTTTAACAGCCGGCTCCAGGCGCTCGTATCAGCGTGCTTGGATTATTTTTCGCCAATTTTATCGCCAATTTTACGGTTCTGATGATCCCCCTTTACCGGTACCTACTACATGCCTCCCCTTATTCATCTCTTATCTCACATTTCGTAAATTGGCTCTTTCAACGATTACTTCATATCTTTCAGCCATTTCCTACGTACACAAGTTGAGGGGGCTCCATGACCCCACAAAATCGTTTTTAATTCAAAAGCTATTAACGGCTCTCAGCCGTCGACAGCCAGTTGACATACGTCTTCCGGTGACAAGACCTGTGTTACATGAGCTCGTTCGTGCACTTAGTTTCACCAATTCTTCGGCATTTCAGCGTTCTCTCTTTTCGGCACTTTTTCTTGTGGCCTTCTATGGCTTATTTCGCATAGGTGAACTTACCGCCAAGAGCAATCGATTTGCGTCTTCTGTCGTTCAGTTCGGTAACCTGACCTTTTTATCACGCAACGGTTGTACGCACGTGGCGAAAATTACGATTTCTGAGTATAAGCATAACACAAGCCGTCGCCCGTTTGATATCTTAATTGCCCGTGAGGTATCTTCTGCCTTTTGCCCCGTTCTTGCCCTTATTCAATATTGCGATTTGCGGGGATCTTCTCCTGGCCCCCCTTTTTTGTCATGCTGATCAAAGTCCAATATTAACTCACCAATTTAATGTGGAACTACAGCGTTGTTTAGCTTATTGTGGGTTAGACACCAGTCGCTATAAAAGTCACAGTTTTCGGATTGGCGGCGCTTGTCATGCTGCTGATCGGGGTTACTCAGATGCGCAAATCCGTGCTCTTGGCCGCTGGAAATCTGACGCTTTTAAAGTCTACTTAAGGTCGGAGGTCCTCCAAGCTAATTAACGTTTGGTGGTGCGGCACTGTAGTTCAGACAAGGGCTGCTATTGTGCTGTCATCATTTTGCCTTTATAGTTAATTTAAGTTTTTAAAGCATCTCACGGGTGTGTGGCATGCCTGTCAGTCGGTTGGACAATGGGCCGCGACTCGGTACGCATAGTCATTTGCTTCTACTTATAACATATTACTTCATAATATTATTAGAGACCGTGTAGATACTTCTTAGGCAATCCGCCAGTTCAAGTTTGATTTATTGAGTTGGTCAGTCAAGGGCTGCATCATAAGACGACAGTGGATGATGTTCTCTAAAATACTAAGCTACAGGTACATGTATTTAGTCACCATGGAGATGGTCAGACTATGGGCTGCATCTCGCCGGTGCTTAGCTTTTTCCTTCTTTCCATAATAGCCTTTAATGTTCCGTGTCCACTGAGGAGCGAGCTTTATTTTGTTTTCGTTGAATGGGGCTTCAGCCACAAAGTGTGGCTTGTGGCGGTATTTTGTCGCCCCATTTGTGAACAAGACATTATATACGAAAATGTTTACTGCTGTGTTTGAATTTTGCTAATGGTTCGATTAAACCTAGCCACAATCGTGGCCAAATTTATTCCAACAAAGTGGTTTCTTATTGCTACTTCCGGGGAATTAGCTCTTAAGTGGTTTCTCAACAAAGCTCGCCCCTTCTAAGTGGGCCACTTTAGATCATATTTGACATGAAAACACGGCTCGATATAAAACCGAACATTATGGCGCGACATAATGTAATTTATATCGAGGCGTGGTGCGCACGTGATATTCCGCTGGGGTTGGCTTGTACCAGGCACGGATTCGATACTAGCATTAGTTTGGCCAATCAGGTTTAAAGTAGGTCACATGCCTAGTATATGAGAGACAGTTTCAGCGAGATATTCTTCCTTCCTCCTCTCGCCATCAGATTGAACAGATCCCCAGAAAAACTTTTCCCGCCTCCTCCCCATTTCACCACCTCCCAGCGATTTATCACGTTTAATCCATCCTGTCGCTTCGATAGTATCACTTTTTAAGGCTGGCGGTATTTTGTCGCCCCATTTGTGAACAAGACATTATATACGAAAATGTTTACTGCTGTGTTTGAATTTTGCTAATGGTTCGATTAAACCTAGCCACAATCGTGGCCAAATTTATTCCAACAAAGTGGTTTCTTATTGCTACTTCCGGGGAATTAGCTCTTAAGTGGTTTCTCAACAAAGCTCGCCCCTTCTAAGTGGGCCACTTTAGATCATATTTGACATGAAAACACGGCTCGATATAAATGTCTTTTACGATATTCTAAAACGGAAAATCGCCTTTCTAGGCTCTAAAAACAAGAAGTTCAAAAAGTCGAAAAACTCACATTTTTCCAAAGGGGTTAACCCATGGTTTTCGTCCAAAAATAGCCATTTTTTAACCTTTTTTTTAAGCAATATAGGCCAGGTAAATGTCTTTTACGATATTGTAGAACGAAAAAAAGCCTTTCGAGGCTATAAAAACAAGAACTTTAAAAAGTCGAAAAATTGACATTTTTTTAAAGGGATAACCCATGGTTTTGGTCAAAAAATGGCCATTTTCCAACATATTTTTTTAGGCAATAAAGGCTAGGAAAATGTCTTTTACGATATTCTAATACGGAAAATCGCCTTTCTAGGCTATAAAAACAAAAACTTCAAAAAGTCGAAAAATTGAGATTTTTCCAAAGGGGTTAACCCATGGTTCTGGTCAAGTATGGCCATTTTTCGACCTTTCTTTTTTAGGCAATAAAGGCAAGGAAAATGTCTTTTACGATATTTTAGAACGAAAAAAAGCCTTTCGAGGCTATAAAAACAAGAAGTTAAAAAAGTCGAAAAATTGACATTTTTTCAAAGGGGTTAACCCATTCTTTTGCTCCAAAAATGGCCATTTTTCCAACTTTTTATTTTAAGCAATAAAGGCAAGGAAAATGTCTTTTACGATATTCTAGAATGGAAAATCGCCTTTCTAGACTATAAAAACAAGACGTTCAAGAAGTTAAAAAATTGACATTTTTCCATAGGGGTTAACCCATGGTTTTGGTCCAAAAATAGCCCTTTTTCCAACTTTTTTTTTTAGGCAATAAAGGCTAGGAAAATGTCTTTTACGATATTCTACATCAAAAAAAACGCTTTTCTAGGCTATAAAAAGAAGAAGTTCAAAAAGTCGAAAAACTGACATGTTTTTGGTGGTTTTGGTCGAAAAATGGGCATTTATCCAAGTTTTTTTTGGGGGGGAAATAAAGGCTAGAAAAATG